AATCTAATCAGATGGCATTGTTTTGAAGCTCATTTACCACTGGGGGGTCCAGAGGTTTCCACACAGTCGACAAGTCAACCCAAACCCACCCCCCATCCCTGCGGCCAACATAAGAAGGTCCTTAGAAAAACAAGCGACAGACACAAAGGGGAAAATGGAGAAGACAACCCAGAGGGCTATTTGTGAGGATTTGCTCATTCCTCACAAATACACAAGAGTACTGACCGCTGACTCAGACCTTTGGTTTGGGTTTGAACAGCAGGAAGTCAGCTTGGTGAGACTGTTGTTGCTGCTTAGGAGATCCTAGTCTCCTGAGACCAAGGAAGTTAATGCTAAACATCTGGGATCTGCATTAAAAAAGAAAGAGAGAAAGGGGCTAGGAGGAGTCAGTATTGACTTGTCATGTAAGGCAGGGTCCCATCTCAGATTGGGGCTGTTAGACTGCTCATTCAGTACAGGATAGGGCAAGAAATAATTCATCTCCACTCTATCATGCTGCCATGTACGCTTGTACACAGAGATGCACCGATTGCAATTTTCTTGGCCGATTCCGATTTCTTGTTAGTGTGATCTGCCGATACCGATTTTTGCCGATTCCAATTTTCTTTCTAAGAACTATAATTGACAGCATATACAAACAAAAATCTACTTTTCTTCAACGCAAAGTTTTATTTTCATAAAAAAACACAAAAAGTCAGTAATAAAATAAGAACAAATAAAAACAATAGCACGCCAAAACAGGCATTTTGACAATTTTTTATGTATTTGAACATTTAGCGCAGTTAGCCACTCATTTTGGTATTTGTGGCACACAAGCTGTTTGAGACTGAGTGCGGATTGTGCGCTCCACTAATATAGATCCGTGGTGGTGCGCACGTTTGGTATAAGTGCGAAACCTGCGGGAATGACTAAAATAATGCGCAATACAAGCACTATTTAACCGGAGCAAATGAGACGTGTGTGAGAGAGAAGGGGTCGTCGGAGAGAAGAGAGCGAGAATGCACGGCTGACGTTATTGCCTGTGCTGCTGGTAACAAAACGGATCGGTCACCGATCCGGGCCGATCATGAGGAAAATCGTCTGATTCCGATCCCTGGCCGATCGATCGGTGCATCTCTACTTGTACATGGAGCTGGACCCCATCCTGCAACTCACATTCTGCCATATTGCGGCGGTCTCTGTGGAAGTGGCAGGGAGGATGAGAAGTCAGCAGCAAAGAGATCACTGCTAATTGCCCATGGTGAATGATTATGGAAATGAACCAGAAGGATATAACAAAAATAAGACACAAAACAGATATTTGGCAAAAGCTTTTCCAATTTTCCTTTAACTGGGCATGGGTTCAACATTTAGAAAGCCCTGCAACTATGTATTCTAAACGCAGTGTGTATATGCGTGTTTACAAAGCCATACTTTTCTAAATTTGTTTTAAAAAATACCCTCAAAATTTAGCTAAATCTAAAAGAAAGATCTTCATGTGCTTCAAAAATAAATACCAGGCCAGTGTTGTGCTGACACTGAAAATCTTACATTGGTTGATCTTGTACATCCATTTTTATGCCTTGCAATTGTACATTGTGGTAGCAAATTCTGCTGATTTGTCACAATGTTATTTAGCTGACAAACTTAAATTACAAGAATGACGTGTGATAGTTTTGGAAAAATCAACAATGTATTAAACTACACACCAATCAGTAATGTTTGGTGTTCATAGTACACAATTCATTTTTGAAAATACATTATAACTGTATAATTAAAAAATCATAATTTGCGTAAATTGATCATACATTTATATAAATTTAACAAGGAATGTTTCATTATTATTATTTTTTTTATAAAAATAAAAATATATTTTATTAAATCTTCCTTTGTTAAAGGGTAGGGGTTTAGAATAGACAATAGTAATGATAATTTGCTTTTTTTTTTTTAACAAATCAAGTCTATAGTATGTCCACAGTCTAGCTAGGTAAAAGTGTGTGTGTGTGTGTGTGTGTGTGTGTGTGTGTGTGTGTGTGTGTGTGTGTGTGTGTGAGGAGGGTTCACGTTTACACACATCTTCATGGTGTATGTGAGCATGAATAATGTTTCTCTGCTGGTACAGAAGCATATGGAGTGTGTGTGTGTGTGTGTGTGTGTGTGTAAGTGGAGCCGCTGGAGGCACTTAAAAAATACTCCACAAATCTCCTGGGTTGGACAGCACAGCGCTGAGCTCAGGATTGTTTGTTTGAGAATGGGCCAGGGGGATGAAATATATACTTGAGGTGTAAAGATCAGAATGACAAACCCTTCAACGAGTCTTTGAAAAGTGCGACTTTAGGTATGGCTTTGATTTTCACACACTCACGCTGTAAATTCCATTCAAGTGAAGGGCACCATATAAGAAACAGGCATCAGAGAATGAAAGCCCAATTTAATTCGACTTATTTGCTTGTCACGCGAAGAATGTATCATGAACATCCCTGAAAGCAGAGGTCAGACGTTCTTCAGGCACAAAGCCTGAACTAAAAACGCTGTTGTTAGCACTTAACCGCATCAAGTGCTTTAATAAACTTAGCTATGCTCGTCTCCACCCCCTAAATACAACGAACGAGAGAAGGGCAGCAGGAGGAGAAGGGCCTGAGCTCCTTCAAAGTCATGTCTGTTGTCAAAACACATTGAGATGGAGGAGATAAAATAAATGGCATCTTTTGGAAAGATGAGGAACGCTCATCCTCCCAAACAACAGATGACCCAAACCAAAGACTCCCCCCAACTGTACTGAAATAGTGGTAATCGGACCCTCTTGGGGCCCTCCACTGGGGCCCTTTTTACGTCTAAGAGTCAATCAAGGGCCGATAACAGACAAAGCCTAGACAGATTTATGAGAGAAAAGCGCCGGAAGGGTCGATGCAGAGGCCGGAGTCGTGATCGGTCCTGAGGCGGGGGGACAGACGGGCCTCTGCCTATGATGCCCTGCACTGACCTGTTGTCACATACGACTGTGCCCTGCTTCTCCACCTCTGACCCTAAAAACACGACACCTAGACCTGCTGTAAAAGCCCAGGGTGGATAGGACATTATTCAGCTGCTTAATCCTCCAATGGATGCTTATAAAGCTATACAACAAGACATGTTTTGGAAAAGGTGGTAAGTAACCCTCATGCTGATTGAAGTTAGGTAACAATACTTACAATATAATATTCTTTTTACATTTAAAAAAAATAACTAAACAACTAATTATTATATTTTGTTATTATTAGTAATAAGTAATCTATGACTATTTATAAAGTCTATTAGTACCTAAATAGTACATATTAGTACCTTTTAAAGGGGTACTGCACTAGTGACAGCATTTGTACCACTCTGTATGTATTATTAATATATATTTTATATATTGAAATTTTAACAACTAGTCATGGTGGTTCTTGGGAAAGGGACAATAGCAGCTCTCCTTCATGTCAGTCCAAAGCCTTTGCAGTCCAGTAAACACTCAAGCCACACAGTAGTGAAAGCAGGTCAACCTTATCTATTCCACTGAAGGACACCAACACTTAATGACTGACTGACCAAAATTCTGTGAGGTATATCAGTTCCTTTATGGGGGGGGGGGGGGAAG